TGTGTAGTGAACAGAACACGGGTGGGGACAACCGATTGTATTTAGCACAAAGATTACAGACTATCTCAATAAAATGTGAATACCATAAAGTCAATCGTCAATTTGCAAAATATCATTCCATCATATGAAACTGTACTGTTCCCGTTGTAGACACTAATCCATTGTCTCCCATTCCATTGTACATGCGTTTTCTTACAATTGCATTGTGTTCTTGCTCTTCCTTTCTTGATCTTCGCCATCTTCTGCTGCCGGACATTACGTTCTTTTAACGCACGTTATATACTACTTATATCAATATAAGTAGCTCACACCACAATGCAAGGCCATATGAACATTCTGAGAGAGAGAACGGACTCGTTCCACCGTCAGCTATACCGAAGCATTTGGGGGGCAGAACAAGATAAATGACTCAGTGAGAAGCATGTATATATTTTTTTTCTGTCATTCATGAACCATTTTCAAATGAACAATTACAAAACACAGAGTTAACAAAAGTTATACCAGGGTAAATATCAATTACTAATATTAGAAACATGGGATAAGTTGTTTAGGAAGTATAATTGAAGGGATCATGTAAATTTTTTCATGAGGATATAAGCATTATGATGTCAACCAGAACTGAGGGAATATACTGAATAAGACTTGAATAATCTAACAGTTTATACAAATTATTGCTCATTACAAAATTTTGTGAATGGTCACACATACACAGCCACTGATCAGAGAAGTCCAGCTTACTGCCTTCTAGAGAAGGGTGTGTTCTTCAAAAAACTGAGAATACAAAAAGCAAATGTCCGTTGCTCCAACCAAATTGGTGGGTATGGAAGATCGTCCTAGGGGGAGTTGGAAAACCTTGGTCCCGAACCAATGGTTCACATGGGCTTTAGGATCCTAGGGAAACAAATGGCGTATGAACCAATTATTGGTCACTGGCTGCCATGGGACTACATCTACTAACATTGTTCCAACGCCTTGTGGATTAGACCATTAGGTTGAAAGCTCTGGATGTGGCCCTCTAAGAAAACCACATGCTTCGGTCTAAGCACCCAGACAGTATCACAGCCCACATACAAATCAAGTGACTTGTGTGGCGCATATGTATTCGGTGCCCCTTTGTACCAGGAATTGTGTTCGAATAAATAATAAAGATAACATATTATTATCATATAATGGGTGAAAGTATATATAATATAAGGAAGAGCTGATCAGAATCGAGAACTTGACATTTATGCTTTTGCACAAAATTCAAATATCATGTATAACGAGCAGTGGCAATTTGTTTGTAGGTTGCTGAAAAAGTTAAAAATTAGAGAGAAATATATGCATCTTTGATAATATAGAGTAAAGACTAGTGAGGTTAGAAGCTGGTTAGAGGTAGTCGACAGGAAACCCCGGATCCGGGTTTCGTACTACTTGGCACTCGTCAGCAAGGTGTACCTGTAATCTTGAGGGAACTGGTGCTTCCTGGCGGATTCGATCCCGTTGTCACTCAGCTTCACAGTCAGAGACGTTACCTAGTGGCCACATTGTAAATTGGTCGATTTGCACTAAATAAGGACTTGACACACATGACATTGATCACCACCCAGTGATCAACTAGCGTTAAACGTATAGCATGCTTACTTTTGCGTTTTTAGATTGTATGCACAGATAAATCTACGTTATCCCTAAATCATAAACATAAATCCTTGATCCTCAAAAACAAACCATTATCATATGACATTACATTCTATCGTAGAACTAATCAGATGACGTCTATTATATTTATCAATTAAAATCTATTCTCCTACTATACCTAATGTCAATTCGTGAAGAAAACCTAACTAAAAAACCGTCTCTATATATCTATATACCTAACTCCTACTTGAGATATTATGGAAAATTTTAACAATCTATTTGGATTCTATTCAGTATTTGAGATGAACCATTTCTTATCCATGAGAACGAGCTGATATGTCGTTGTTTTTCTTTTTTTCCACTGACAAGATTGTCCATAAACTGTCTATTTGTAAAAGTTGTCTCCTAATTGGTTGGAAATTTATCGTGATTGTTTTAGGTTTGCCTTTATACCATTTTTTCTTATCAATATAATCTACTGAATGCGTGTGCTACGGATATCGACAGAGATAAATAGTATGCCACCAATTGAAAGTGGAATACCTGGCAGTCAGTCAGTCAGTAACAACGTAGAACTTCGTACGTACGTACATCAGTCCGAGTAGCCACACCACATTAGTACAGAGATACAGTTGTCGATTCAAATCCCATAGTGGTAAAGGTGGTGAAAGTATAAACAGTAATCGGAAAGAGACAAGGAGGATTCAGGGGATTAGAATTTGGGAGAACACAAAGAGTGAATGCACCTGAGCCATTGCAAACGATTTTGAGCCATGTCATTCAGGAATACCTGCCAGAAAAAGGTTAAGAAGATTGAAGAGAAGAGAACAAGAATAGAAAATGATTGGTATGTAAAAAAAAAATAATAACCATGATAGGATTTGTTCAATCTATACTACTTTAATTATCATTACAATCATCTGATTGTTTATTCTCACTTCCAGTTATGTCATTAAAACAGAGCTGTTACGTAACAAATTTGATTTAGTTGTCTCATCTTGACTATTCAGTTTCATCTAAAGCCCTAACCTCTATTTCTATTGGAAAATTATTATCATTGAAATATTGTACATCATGTCTGGTTTGTTGAATTCGCATAGATCTAGTTTTATTCATAGAAGAATCTGTTCAATTGTTAATAATTACAAAATTATTGTAACAAAGTCTTAATGGTGAGACTATAATTTATGGATGATCTTTAAGCGACGCTAAAGTGATCGTGAGTGTTCACCTAATAACTAGGACAAAATGAGGGCTATAAACCATAACTCCATTTAGCAAAATGGATAGGTGAATTTCGCGGCAAAATCCAAAACCTGTTATCTTATACCTGATTGGTTCTCCCATAAATTATAGTCAGCCAGTCAACAGCGACATAGAACTTCGTACGTACATCAGTTCGAGTTGCCATACTACGTCACCACACAGATACAATTTAAAGCAATTAGTCCCTTTTTATAAATTTCGATAGAACAATGAGAAGACGGAGTTGATCTGAAAAATGTGATTGTTCGAAATGTAAAGCGTAAATACATCAGTTTTATTCAGATCAACTCCGTCTTCTCATTGTTCTACAGATACAATTGTCCATTCAAATCCCACAGTGGTAGAGGTAGTAAAAGTATAAGCAATTATCAGAAAGATTAGGGTTTGAAGATGTTATTCAAGGAGTATAATACAGTGAAATATATTTGGAAAGAGAAAAAGGAAAGGGACATGAAGAATTCAGATTAGAATTTGGGAGAACACAAAGAGTGAATGCACCTGCGCCATCGCAAACGATTTTAAGCCATGTCATTCAAGGTCTCTAACCATCGGTTGCTATCATAGCACGGATCCCAACTAGGTAGTCTACACTTACCAACATGGTTCAGTCGACTTGTGGATTTGTGTCATGTTTTGATCTGGCCCTCCCCTAACTTTCTTCCAACCTACTCCTACATTATAAAACATCGCTTGTCAGGGTAGTAGGTGGTTGGACATACATAACAACATATTCCAGCCGTCTCAACTAATGAAGTCGCAATACTTCATCAATTGATTTTTCATCCATATCTAGTAGCCGTTTCCTAACAACTACATCACTTACTCGATGATTCCAGGATATACCGAACAATACTTCGAAGACATCTATAATCGAATACTAATTACCTATGAATAATTTCGACGTCTTAATTCAAAAACTTTACAAGTATATACTACTTATTAATAAGAAAAATGATTATTACAATTTTATCTTTTGTTAATAAATATTATCAATATTTATATTATATTTAATAAATTAAATCTTTATTTTTATTTAAATTAATAAAAAAAACATACTCATCATACACACATGCACTTCAATAAAACTACACACTAGTCACTAGGAGAAACAAAACAAGACAGAACACTAACCAAAGATCAGGAAAGAGAGAGGGGGGGAGAGAAAAATTGGAAACAATGAATAGTGAAATTAAATATATCATAGCTGATTTTTTTTGATTATTTAAATAATGAAACCAAATAGTGCATGTTCTTCTTTGTGTGTGTGTGTGTGTGGAAGAGAGAGAGGAGGGTGAGGAGGAAGAGAAGAAGACATCGAAAACGACGACGACGGCGACGACAACAACAACATACATTATATCCTAACATTAGGAGTTTTTTATTTGTGCTGCACCATAACACATAAATATGATTGTAAACGAATAAATTTCTTTAGTGTTAACAATAAATGTTAAATAGAATATGAATTTTAAAAGAACCCATAGAAAAGAAGTCATTGTTGTATAGAGGAGATGATAGAGGACAATATATTGTAGGTTAATGTAGGTTAAAAGAAGTAATAACATAAATAATATTAAACTTTAATTCAATATATATATGTGATGAGATGATTATGAAAGATTCACTTTTAGAAATATAATAATAATAATAATGGGAGGAAAAATGTGCACTGACGTCACCAGTGTTAACAATGATCAGCAGTAAAAAGACTGACGATGGTGTTGGCAGTAACAACAACAACAACAACAACAATACCGCTTGGAAGAAGGATTAGAAATAAGCGGTCACCCATTCAACACACACAGAGAGAGAGAGAGAGAAAGAGAACCGGACACTTACACAGCATATCATTTAATTGATTGAAATAGAAGTAGGACAACTCAATTAGGAAGACATACATAAACACGCACACAAGTAAACAAAAAAGAAATAAGATAACTGAAAGTTTAAATTCAAGGAGAAATCATAAGCAGTAATGTGAGGGGTTTTGTTTTCTCTTTGTTAGTCAACTATAATAGAACATTATTGTCCATTATATAAACATGGTTTATAGGTGTTCTTTTTTTCCTATAAAGAAAAACGAAGCGTCTATCCAACAAGACTTGTACAACAGTAATACCGATGATAAGATCAGTTAGAGAATAGAAGCATCTACTCATGTATGTGCAAACCCGTACAGCACTATTCATACACAACCGACAGTCATGAACACACACACAAACACACATTCATATATATACACATAACTCAATGAATCATAAACATTGTGCGATTTTTTTTATTTACTTTCCTTTTCTTTTCTTTAAAATTACAAAAAAGAACCACCACCGAGAAGTAGTAAAAGTCAACGTCTAAATGAATGAATAAATAAATAAATCACTGATCAAAGTAGTACAATAATGTCTGTATAGTAAATGGTACTACTACGAATCGTACAGAAATACAGTAATAATAATAATAATAATGGCAAGAGGTTAAAACAAGTAAATAAGGAAGTAATAACACCAATTCTATCGATTATATTATTAAATATTATTGATAATAGTCATAGAAGAAATCGAATACAAAACAATCCATTAACACTAATGATCAATAATGATCAGAAAGTTTTAATGAAGAAGTAGAAGAAGAAGAAGAAGAAGGAAAAAGGATCTTTTTTTAAGATGATGACCGGGAATAGAATTACTAATCAACAAATATTAGTAACCAGTACACATATTACACATATACACATAAAGAAAAAAAAATTCACCTGGATACGTTCAAATATCGAAGTATGTGTGTATAGAGACAAGACAAAACCAATGTAACTATATATATATATCGATCACCAAGAGACAAAAATAAAAGGTTAATGGGTTATAGGAAGAAAAAAAATATAAAAAGATGCTCAAAACAAAATACCTTGACAATAATAACTAATAGGTGGTAGGTGTTAACCGGGAACAGTAAAATCAATCAATCTAATGATCGATCAGTTGATCAATATATATAGATAGGTAAATAGATGAATCGATGAGAAAGAAAAGTACAGAATAAATGAAAGAGGAGGGGATTGAGATAGATAGAGAGAGAGAGAGATGGAAATAAGTAGCAGTTTTACTAAGAGACAGAAATAAACAAGAATGAAGGAACAATCACCAATAGTATATTCATGAGTAGACTCGAAAATGTTGTTCTTGTTGTGTGTATACTTATATACTTTATATGCATTTATGAGTATGTTTGCCTATATATGCATACTTTTACCAGTGTCATCAAGAATATTGAATAGCAGATAAATTATAATGAATGAATCGGTTGACAAAACAACACAACATTATCAATATCAACAACATAAACACATACTACATGAAATAATTAGATAACAAGAAGATACAAAGACGAATATATGAAGAGGACATTCAATGAAAACACTTAAAAGAAGAAAGTATATTGTACCAATACTAATGAGTGTAAGTGAATAAATGAATCAATTAATTCATCAATCATTCAGCAAAGAAGTAACAACCCTAATCAGTTGTCAAATGTATAAATATCGAGAGAGAGAAACAGAGAGAGTTGACTGGCGCATGTAACTAATAAGTGTATCTCTGTGTATGTATGTTGTTTGATTTGATCTATAGAATGGGATAACAAGGCGGTATTCAATTAATCATTCATAAATGAAATATTTGATATGAACAATAAAGTTTAATTCAACTAATCAATCAAATAAATAGTTTGTATAGAAAAACAAATTGTTGAACTATCCATACTGGATACATTTTGATGATTATAGGACTGTTGTTGATGTTGTTGTATAGGAATATAAAGAAGCTTGTCAACACAAAAACAAAAAAAACTCATACACACTGAATGAAAAATAAACACAAACAAGCCAATACACACACACACACACCGGGGTAATACAATATGAATTAAATACGTGATGAATGATTACTATTATTCACAAGAAGAACATTATTAATAATATTACAATTATTGATTGATTATTTTCGCTTCAGTTTCTTTATCAGTTACATAATTTACTAATCTAGGATCAGTTAAAAGGCGATAATCATTTGGTGACATAGATATGCCAATTTTATCACCAACATGATGTACACATGAAGAATAAATAGTTGGTGTAGAAGAATTTGTTAACATTCCATTGTTGTTAATCTCTCCACCATGACTTTGAATAAAATGCGCACTTTGAAGTCTACATCGATCAACTGTATAAATATTACTACTACTACTAGTAGTAGTAGTAGTGGCAGTAGTATTAGTATTAGTAATAGCAGTAGTGGTAGTAGTACTATTACTATTAGTAATAGTAGTAGCAGTAGTAGGATGCATTAAGGAGTTAGAAGGTATCATTCTATTGTGTATATGAGTAGTTTTCTGTTTGACAACATTTTTAATAGGATTGGTATCATCGTTATGCATTGGATTATATACACCGGTACGATTGGGTATATGAACGAAATGGGGACCAAAATTGGAACTAGCAGGAATAATATCTGAATGAACTTTTCCATCACCAAACTCTCCCATTTCTTCTCGAAAACTAGCCAAAGTGGAAAGTATTTCTGCAGTCATAGTACAACTGTCACGTCGTCCAGCTGTCAGAGAGAAAAAAAATACTCAAATTAAGTGATTTTTTGCATTTCTGAAGGTCATTTGAAATAAATCAATGTAGCTTTTTAAATCAAATTACAGTAAGAACACCCCCAAATGCCATAATACCGTCAAGGGTGAGAAGAATTAGCTTTCTCTCTCTCTCTCTCTCTCATGAAATCCTTTTATATAGCCACGAGTTTATAGTCGCTGCCACAAAATATCTACTCATTGCCTCCATGAGGCAGGGATGTTATTTACGGAAGTGATAAGACGAAAAGATGATGTCCGAGTTAGTAGATATAGAGAATCTACCTGATTACAAATCAGTGGTACACATAGGCTCTTGGATCTTAAAAGAACGAAGGAATGGCGTACGAATTTACCACGGGAATGAATTTCTTGACGCTGCTCCACTACTTTTCGGATTCGTTCGTTTATTCGAATGCTCAGGGAATGATCTGTCAATGAAATCACTTGTTTGTCTAGGCTCCCTGGAAATATCCCACATTACAGATTACATAAAAATGTATCAAGCATTCTATATTTTGGTAATCTGTTGTATCAGGTTGTATTTGGATAAATAATGATAATGCAAAGGTATATAGGGAATAATGTTGAAATGACTCAGTGTACTTGTAACCTGCAATGGATGACTTTGTTTTTCTTTAGTCAAGTTGAAAAATATGTACAACTGAAATACCCCAATGTTGTTCTGAAGAAAATAACACTAGGGTCAACTTCATGAAAGTGGAAGGTAAGGTTTGGTGATGAAGGTATTCGACTTTCATTTACCATTTATAGCTTAGAAAATGTAATTACTACACCAGCCAATATATATACTATGGATGATTGAAGTTGAGATGACTATAAAAGAATGTAATTAAGTAATTCGGGAACTAATTACAAGTATTTATTTATTTAAATGCGTAAACATTGGTACAAGGGGGCACCAAAATATGTATGCACCACACTTCATCATCCGACTTGTGTGAAGGCTTAGATTCTGTCCGGGTGCTCAAAATGAAACAGGAGGTTTTCTTAGGAGGCCACACTCAGAGCCTTTGACCTACAGATCTAATCCATAAAGCAGTGGAACAATGTTAGGAGATGCAGTCCCATGGTAAACAGTAGCCAACAGTAGGTTCATATGCCATATATTCACTCAGAATCCGGAAGCCTATGTACACCATTGATTGGGAATCAAGGTTTTCCAACTCCCTAGGTGGATCCTCCATATCCACCAACCCGGTTAAAGAGCCGAACATTCACTTTTCATCTTCTCCATTTCGTAAACAACATTCCCATCACAAGAAGGCAGTGAGTAGGACTTTCCTGATTAGTGGTTGTACATGTGTGGACATGTGAGAATATTTCTAGAGGTAAGAGTTGACTTTTCTCACCTTCGGTCATACCAAAGCATTTGGAGGCAAATATATATGTGTCTTATTGTAACTCGGCCATTGAAACAGTTTATTTATTTATTTCAACAGAAATATTGGTACAAGAGGGCACCAAATATATTATGCGCCACACTATAATTGTGTGTGTGTGGGCTGTGATACTGCTCGGGTGCCCATACCGAAGCAGGTGGTTTTCTTAGACGGCCGCACCCCGAGCCTTTGATTTAAAGGTCTGATCGACAAGGTAGTGGAACATCGTGAGGAGATGCATTCCCATGGTAGCCGGTGACCAACGATTGGTTCATATGCCATTTGTTCCCGCAGGATACTGGAGCCCATGTGCACTATTGGTTTGAAATCCGGTTAAAGTGCCGGACATTCGCTTTTCGTCCTCTCATTTTCGTAAACAACACCCCCGCCACGAGAAGGCAGTGAGTAGGACATCCCTGGCAGAGGCTGTATAAGCGTAGCCGTGTGAGAGCATTTCTAAAGGGAGAGCGGGCCCACCCTACTCTCGGCCATACCAGGGCATTCGGGGGCATTGAAACAGACATTCCACTTATGTGATAACAATAATTAATGATTTAGAAAGGAAAAAACTCCCTGTCATCTCTTCATATGATACAAGTTTTTAACACACACACACACTCACACTTTGCTTTACTCTGTTTAAAAATGATGAAATACTTCGACAAGTATTTCTTTTTCTACAAGAGAACGCAATATCAACTACAAACTAATTAAAACTTTAGTAAATTATAATACCTACAACAAAATGTTTAAAATGATCTCCTTTAAATTTGGTTTAAACCTACAAAGCATTATTTTTATTGAGATAATATTATGTAATATGTAACATGTAATAATATCTGTATTATGAATTAATCACTTATACATTCTTCTGAATTCATTTTAATTGTATTATGATTGATTGACAAAATATTTGACATTTTATAACTGAATGTACAGAGAGTTTAATCATACAGTAAACTACAGTTGAAATATGGTTACAGAAAAGATATGTACACTTTCATAAAAACACTAGTGTCTAATAGTCAATAAAATATTCTCGGTATGGAGAGGAGGGGTGGAGTTGTGGAGAATTTGAATGTTACTGAGATCAAAAAGCCCTCAAATGCCCTGGTACGATCGAGAGTGGGGAGAGTCAGCTATCCCTCTACAAATGCTCTCGCATGGCTATGTGCATACAATCACTGATAGGGAAGTCCTATTCATTAACTTATCGTGGCGGATATGTTGTTTATGAAATTGAGAGGATGAAAAGCGAATGTCCGACGCTTTAACTGAGTTGGTAAACACGGAGAGTCCACCTGAGTGGATTGGAAAACCCTAATTCCAAACCAACGGTGCACATGGGCTCCAGTACCCTGAAGGAACAAATGGCGTATGAACCAATTATTGGTAACCGGTTACCATGGGACTGCATCTCCTCACGTTGCTTCACTGCCTTGTGGATGAGACCTTAACGTCAAAGGCTCCGGGTGTGCCTCCCTAAGAAAACCATCCTCTTCGGTTTGGGCACACGGGCAGTATCTCAGTCCTCACACAAATCGAATGATTTATGTGGCGCATATGTATTCCGTACCCCTTTGTACCAATATGTGTTCAAATAAATAATAAATCCTAAACCGATCTAAGTTAGATAACCAATGTAAACCATGAAGTTATTTCGTCGTAATATGGGACTCCTCATTACTGCACATCTAAGATACCGAAGATGGTCGCACCTAGAACTTGCATTTCTCGTTGCGATCGCTTAACTTTCACACCACTGAGTCAGTATCAAATGATTTACACTTCTAACTTCAATAAATCCGTTATATTACGCAACCATCTTTCATTATCATCTTCTATAGGTAACGACTCTACACTGGACATTGTTGAATTCCTCTAGAGTTTTATACTACGATGAAATAGCTATCCAGTGTTACTTGGTTTTCAATGGTTGTCTAACTTAGGTCGATTAGTATTCGCAATAAATTAAGGTATATTACATAAACTTACAATTTCCTATCTAAAATGGTAAAAAAACTAATTACTAATACTACTGCCAATAATAATAAACATACGCATGTGTAATCACAAGATTGATTGGTCATATGTTCCAAGATCGACAAATCATACTGTATGCATAATTGAAATATTATTATCAGATGTAATAAATCAAATTTATTGATTAAAGCACATAAATATTGATATATATAAATGGGCACCAAAATAAATATGTACCATTACAAATAAGCAAATGAAATGGTAAATAAATAAAAAAAGGATAAGGGTAGGAAAATTAAAAAATATAAATGAATAGATATATATGAACAAGAATAGATTATAAAAGAAGGGATATTTCAATGATGCCCAGGACAGGGTTGGATGGAGAATGCTGGTGAGCGGCCTATGCTCCTCCACGAAGAGTAACAGGCGTAAGTAAGTAAGTAAGTAAGTAAGATATTTCAATGAGAGAACAAAAGTAAGGGAACATAGCTTTAGTTCAAGAAATTATTCTCACTTTCATGAATAATGTAGAAGAACCACCATTGACATTTGTTTTCAGTCATGTCTATTAATATCAAAAGCCACTGAGTTGCATCAATCTCTAGGATTTCAATCACTGGATGTGTGAAGGACGACAGATGTTAGTCTCATACAGTTTTCTGTCATACCCTGAAACTATATCAGAAACTGATCATCACATTTGTAGCATATAATCAATCCACCGAAGACGGTCATACCAATTGAGTTATCTGATTGGAGCTTGAATACACAATGTTGAACTTCCCTCATTGAAAACAGGAGATTCTATGGAGATAACGATTATTGGACACAAACAACCATTTAACAAGATCAGTTCTAAGAGGTTATGTTTCACAAACATACAGCATATCTGCCGTTACCGGTGCGTTGTAAAACCGGCCTTATACATCCAGATCAAGAGATGTAATGAACGGTTCAGATTAGTAGAAATCACTCTGGCTTTCATTATACGTAGATTGAACTCATTTGTCGAGCTACCGCCATCAGCACTCACGTAACTATTTATATGTACAAACTTTTTGACCATTTCTAACATGTTAAGCATAAAGTTGAGATTAATCGACTTTATGATTATTTATCAATAATTATGATTTCAAAAAGAGGAAAAACAAACGTAACTTTTGATAAATAAACAAGCATACATATACTTACCAAAATGATTGGTAGACTCATCCGCCTTACAAATTAAATTAGGGAGTTGTAAGTATTCATCCAAATCATTATTACCAGTACTAGTGTTACGAAGAAATAAATCATCTGTTGTTGTACTGTCTTGAATATTACTATTGTTTCCACCGCCACTGCCACAAATGCCAACACCACTTGAGCCAGTTGTTCCACTCCTAGCAACTTCTCCACTTGCACTCAACATATTAACCAGATTACCTCTATGTGATTCTGCATGCTGTAAAGGTAAATTGTGTAGATGTGTACCACCAAAGGAATAATGATCTTGATTGAAATGAAAACTATGAGATGATGAGGTTGATAGTAGAGAAGATGGATCAATGAGTTCGGAATACTTTGAATTTGTTGTTATTGTATTATTATTTTTATTGGACACACATGGATAAATTGATTTATTCATTGGTTGTTCTAAACTATGAGGATTATAAACACTAGAACGAATTTTCCAACTTTTGTGATGTTTCAATGCTGTATCGACAGTGGAATCCTAGAAAAGTTCATACAGCCGCCAATAGGCAAAAAAAAATAGCCGTTACTGTATTCCGGAAAAACATAGTGTCATAGCGTAGACTTCAAAATAATTTCAACAACCATATCTTTAATATAATTTGAGAATTATACTCTGGGGTTTGATTCCGTCAAAATTTCTAAATTTAGACAACCCTCAATAATCAATTCATAGTCTTGCCTTCTACTCCAACTAGCATGAAAAACAAATCATCCAAAGGGAGACATTAACAACTGAGCAGAGTGAGTAAGCACTGTGTATCAACCATTGCAATAAACTATTTCGATAGACTTAATCATCAAAATAACTGTAACTGAGTACATGGAAACATATTAAGATAAAAATGTTAGTTATTCAATTGTGAACGAGGTGACCGTGAATGCCGTTAGAGGTAACCGTCACTTCCTAATTACCAATGCCGTGACCGTAGATTCAGATGGATAACAGACAGACAATCTTTTTGTGGATAGTTTTAGATGAGTTAGCTCCATAGTTTAAAAGACTTATTGTTGGTGCCAGAAATCAGAGGAATAAGATGTGTTGTGCTAGTTTTAGGGTCAACCATTTTTATAAGCCCTACTTTTCATTGTGAGAAAGTCTCATCGGTTCAAATGCTTATTGTCTGATGGAAACATTTTACTGCTGTCACACACCTTTACAGTCACGGAACTACTAGTCATGTAGCCCAGAGCTCAAACGATTGAGTATGTGTAGCTTGTTAAGAATTCCTCTCGACATGTGACATGTGATAACACGAGCGAGTCTACACCTACATTTGTGATATGATCAACGTTATTTATGACCACTTAAAACAGATTGAAATCCATTTTAAATAAAGATTTATTTGTTTAAAGGCTAATCAATACAATGCAAAATCAAGGGGAAAATTATGAAAAAGATTTATATGCAAACAAAACTCCAAAAAATAGTTGAAAAATGAGAACCGTTTTAAAAAAAAGAAAAAAACTTTACTTACAATGTTTTTCTTTTCCATAGTACTACCACTGTTGTCCATATGCGGTCTAAACAGTAAAGAATAGTATTTATACTCAAAACTCAACAAGAAAAGAAGGCTATTGAAATGATAATTATTCATTCACACCGAGTACATAATGTTTATGTCCTCGGGTTCTGGGCTCTATTACTGTTTACGCGTGAACGAATACTGAAACCATTACTAGGCTGCCTAAATCATCAAAGTAGATGGAGTGAAGGTGGTGGAAGTGAAAAGTAATTTACAAAGGAAAAGGCAACGATTTAAATGTGAATAAGTTTCAACTACAAGGCAGTCACTGAGCTCAATTCACATTGAAAACATGAGCTTTAATGCGATATGTCAACCAGTACAGTGAAAATTACTGAGTCCAGTTACCTATAACCTTATGTAACAGATATGAATTTTATTTGAAGCAAAAGATAATAGATCGGTAACTCAATGAGAACATTGACACTGATGATGTAGGCACATCCAGCTAACGAGCCATAAATCAGACGGAACATATGCCCTTTATTCCACTGCAAGCTATTAACCAACTTTAGTAAAAATTTATGACTAAATGGTGGTATTGATATGATCCGTTCAGGATCCACAAATGACACAGATCGATCAATTATAGTACCGTAACATCGACAACAGGAAAATACAAACTCACACAAATTCAATTGATGAATATGTTAGTGTGGACAAAGAGAAACAATGTAAAATCGGAAACTATTTTGAACTGCACTAAGAGAAAAAGACAATAAAATGAGTGAAAGTAATCATATGAGAACGGAAGAATAAGACGAAGGATGTAATTTGACATCTTTTGATTAATCAATGAATAAACCTGGGGCTAACTGAAAATCGATTCCAGTTAGTCAAAGGTACTTATTTATTTCATAACAGTACACCTATCCCCAACAAGGAGATACTTTAATTCTAACATTGCTTCACATACTTATTCAACGTAGAATCTGGTATATATACACACGTTGATTCAAGTTGACACATCACAATAGTATGGAGAGATGAAATTACTAAGATAAATATCAGAGTAGTAGAAATAGTAATACAGTTCGAGAATAAAAAACGAATTTGTACAATAAAAAAGTATTAAATAGTTTTGCAACTCCAGATAACGTCACTTGCACCATTACGGTTAATTCTGAACCATATCATCCGAAGTCTACAGCAATTGGTCATAATGGTTGTGCAAACCGTAAATCAAGCAAGTAAGCACATGGCTCAGATTAACAACCGATGAGTACATAGACTGAAGGTTTGACTTCTCTTAGCTTTCTTCTAGCATACTGTTAGACTAAAACACTTTTAAAATACCTGTAAATAAACAAATTCATTGAGAAGATTTAACACTTGGTGAATTTTGGAAATTCGTAGGCAGTCAATGATCTTTAAACCAATGAGATATGATCATAACTGCAGGTGATCTATTCAAGCTTACAACTACAAACCGTAAGTAAATAAATCTGAAAACAGAAACGTACGTGCACATTTTCATCTCACAAGCAACTGGGTCAAATCCGTTTGATGACTGCGACTCTGTTGAACATGTATAGGGTCTTTTTGCTGGCATTAGATGAGATTCATTTCTTGGTAGTTCCGTATGAACTAAATGACTATTGTCCAGTAGATGAGTATCACGATGACGTCGAATAATACAAGCACGCTTAGTATCTGTATCATCCATAGGTGTTAAAATATTTGAAGTCTCTTCCTCTTCAACTCCTCTCAATTTACATGCTGGCCTGAAGTAATGATCACTGGACATGATAGACCTAGGACTTAAAACATGTGACTTTTCTGTCTTCCCAGGACCATATGTATATTGTTCAATTGGATTTAATTGAATATCTGATAATGTATGGTGGATAGATGAATCAGAAGCAGTCCTTAGGAGAAATTAAACATTACAACTAGTAATAATATTAAACAAACATGCAACATAAATGTATATGAAGATACCTTTCCTCAATTGGGAACAATAAGAAAACTATTCCGTTTCAAAGTCCATACGGAATCAAATGGTAGAATGATTAATCAAAACATGATTACTAAACTAAATTTATTTAAAGAGGAAATATCAATTATAATGGAATTTCAACCTCTTGGATAGAACTTCAACAACAACAACAAAAATACTTTCTTCAATTATATTGTGATTTAAACGGAATTTTCAAAGTGTGATATAACGATAGGCAAAATTTTATTTCATCATCTGAAACAGTTACAGTGTGGTGTATGCTACTTATGCCAACAGACACCAGTGACTAGTTTCATGAGGGAATTCTCGAAGTTCTAGTGAGAAGCTGTGATCAGTGAAGTTAATTCATGTCAGGTAGAGACAGGTATCTAGCCCAAATGCCCTGGTATGGCTGAGAGTGGGGAGAATCAGCTCTCCCTCTAGAAATGTTCTCACATGACCACACATATACAACCACTAATCAGGAAAGTCCTATTCATTACCTTCTCGTGGTGGGGATGTTGTTTAAGAAATTGAGAGGATGAAAAGCGAATGTCCGGTGCTTTAAACGGGTTGGCGGATATGGAGGATCCACCTAAGGGGGTTGGAAAACCCTGTAATTTTGTGTTAAACAATAAATTGATTGTCCCCATCTGAGTTCTCGTTCACTGACAATAGGACACTTTAATGTTCTGGTAATCATATCAAAATATTATCATCAATAAATAGAATGTAATTAAATTTGGGAATCAAATACAGGTTAATGGATTCAAATTTACATGGGTTACAATTTTTGGTATGGTTGTTAACGATACTGCACAATTGTTCATGTTAAAGCAAGTGAATAAGTGGTTGAATAGAACTACTGAATGGTTAATTAAGTGTACAGATAATAATTGTACAAGATAATAGAATGCTCTCGTTGAGAATCCAAGATTGTATGCACCCGATATAATAATAATAATGACAGTTAATATATCGAGTTGATCTTAAGTCACCACTGAAAAATTGGAAGCATTCGATGGTCGTCTAGACTCAGGATGGGACTCCTCAGCAGTCCGCATCCACGACCCCGAACCTAGGTATCGAGTCCGGGGTCTTCAGTCTGGAGCGTAAGCGTTTAACCTATAGACTATTGGGTCAGTATCCAATGATGTTAATATCTGACTTCATGAATACGTACTGCTGAGGAGTCCCATACTAGAATGAAACGTCTGTTCAGTACTTCCAGGTTTTTCAATGATAATCTACCGAAGATCAATTCGAAGTTTAAACTTGGAAAACACCAAAATCTCCACAAATTCTCCAGACTATTACTACTACGATTGATATTAAAAATAGTAATGATAATAATAATCAGTTAAAAATGTGTAATTACCTGCGCCAATCAACCACTGAATATGGTGTTTGAGCTTGTCTAATCTGTTCAGTAATATTAGCAGAAAATGGTGTTTTCAATTGATGTTGTAAAGAATTTGTAGGAGGAAAACTTCGAAATCCAACTGGTGTACATATACCAGCACTAAAATAACCTGATTCACATGTATATTGACTTGAATTCGTTAATGATGATTGTTGTGTAAGTAAACTAGTAGTAGATGCTACTTCAACATTTGAATGTGATGTAGAAAATAAATAAGGATTTGTAGAAATATGTGATTTTGGTTGTAAACTATGATGGTATGGTTTAGTATTTGTAAATAAATTAAAATTCTTTTGAATATGATGTTGACTAACAACTGCAACACTGGAACATTCATTATTCCAATTACTGAAAATTGAGAGAAAGAAAAAAATAGAGGAATTAAATTTATCAAGTGTATGTACAGTTGGACTGTGAGGAGAGAAAAAAAAGAACATAATTAATGAATAGCGATCTAGGTCGAGAAAGTGATGAAATTTCTTAGAAGTAAAAATACAAAATATCAATCATAGTGATGATTTATTATTTATTTCAACAAACATTGGTACAAAGAGGCAACAAATAGATATGCGCCACACTTTATCATTCGATTTGTGTGATGCTTAGAATACTGCCCGGATGCCCAAATCGAAGCAGGTGGTTTTCTTAGGGAGCCCCACACACGGAGCCTTTGACCTAAAGGTCTGATCCACAAGGTAGTGGAGCAACATTAGGAAATGTAGTCCCATGGTAGCCGGTGACCAACGATTGGTTTATATGCTATTTGTTACTTCAGGATCCTTGAGCCCATGTGCAGAATTGGTTTGGAATGAGGGTTTTCCAACTGCCCTAGGTGAACTCTTCGTGTGCACTATGTCGGTTAAAGCGTTGGACAGTCAATTTTCGTCCTCTCAATTTCGTAAACAACACCTGTTGTGCGAGAAGGCAGTGAGCAGGACTTCGTTGGCAATGGTTGTGTGTACGTGGCCATGTGAGAGCATTGGTAGAGGGAGAACTGACTCTCCCAACGCTTGGTCGTACCAGGGCATTTGGGGGCAAACGAGAATATTCATTTGAACTGATTTATTACGATAAAACCACAGCAGTGTCACATTATATTGTGAAATAATGAGTAACTCACATTGACAATGTCGATTATTAAGTGACTAATTTTTTTAGAACATTTACACATTTAAATATGATTTGTAAACAATTTATTCTGTTTGCTAATTATAGTTTCCTATACATTTCTCCCTCTCTATCCACTATATCCCATCACATTTACTACGTGGTTTACGCGAGGTTGTCTTTTGAATGCTGATGAAGTTGTTAGAATCCATGTTCGCAAACCTAACCTCTGCATAAAAAAGAATTTTGTACAACCACCCTCTCTACCTTGACAATTGGTATAGGGGTGAGTTTTTAACTGAACTTTGATTAAACCCTTTATTTCAAAAATACTCAATCAAATTTCTAATTTTCAGTACAGTCGAGGAGCGATTAAGGTTAGACATTAAGACTGTTGGATGCTGGCTCAGTGATCTAGAGATCGAGCCTTAACGTCCAAGACCAAAGTTCTTGGGTTTGGGTCCCATGTGTGGGATCGTGGATGCTCACTGCTGAGGAATCTCGCATCAAAATGAAACCACTGTCCAGTGTTTGCAGGTTTTTAATGGTGGTCTAACTTAGATCGATTCATGATTTCAGTGAGATTTTCTAATTTCCTTCACTTCTGTATTTTTACATATTTTCAATATGTCTTTTGATTCTTACATAACTACTATAAAACTGACATTTCATCGAAATAGTTTGTTAGTTCTTATTATATATTATACGAAGTAACAACTGTTTAATTTCTCAAATAATTACTTTGATAACATTGATCCTCTTTCTTCCAATTACTCAATATTACTTTTATGATCACTATAATATTGTATAATTAGTACACAACGTAAATACTCGATGAGTATTACTTTATTATTGATTGAGATCATGAACCGATTGATGTTAGACCACCATTGTAAAACCTGGAAGCACTAGACGGCCGTTTTGTCCACTAAATTGTGGATCAGACCTCTACGTGAAAGGCTCCGTGCGTGGCCCCCTAAAAAAACCACCTGCTTCGGTTTGGGCACCCGAGCAGTATCTTAAACCTCACACATATCGAATGATAAAGTGCGGCGCATATCTACTTAGTGCCTCCCCTTGTACCAATGTTTATGTGTTTAAATAAAAATAAATAAACTAGATACATTGTTTGCAAAGTTGTTCGAAATAAAGACCGGTGTCAGGCAAGGTTGCTTACTCTCACCCTTTCTCTTTCTCCTGGTGATCGACTGGATCATGAAAACGTCAACATCTGAAGGAAAACATGGGATACAATGAACATCTAGGATGCAGTTGAACGATCTAGACTTCGCAGATGATCTGGCTCTTCTATCCCAAACGCAACAACAAATGTAGAAGACGACCAGTGTAGCAGTAGCCTCAGCAGCAGTAGGTCACAATATACACAAAGGGAAAAGCCAGATTCTCCGATACAACAAAGCATGCACCAATCCAATCAAAATTGACGGAGACGATTTGGAAGATGTAAAAACCTTTACATATTTCGGCAGCATCATTGATGAACGTGGTGGGTCTGATGCAGATTTGAAGGCGCGGATCGGCAAAGCAACAGCAGCATATTTACAACTGAGGAACATCTGGAACTCAAAGCAACTGCCAACCAACACCAAGGTCAGGATTTTCAATACAAATGTCAAGACAGTTCTACTGTATAGGCCAGAAACCTGGAGAACTACGAAAGTCATTATCCAGAAAATACAGGTGTTTATTAACAGTTGTCTACGCAAAATACTTCGGATCCGTTGGCCGGACAGATACTATTAGCAACAACGTACTGTGGGAGAGAACAAACCAGATCCCAGCAGAGGAAGAAGCGTTGGATGTGGATAAGATACACATTGAGGAAAGCACCCAACTACGTCACAAGACAAGCCCTCACATGGAATCCTCAAAGCCAAAGGAAGAGAGGAAGACCAAAAAACACATTACGCCGAGAAATGGAGATAGACATGAGAAAAATGAACAAGAATTGGATGGAACTAGAAAAGAAGGTCCAGGACAGAGTGGGTTGGAGAATGCTGGTCGGCGGCCTATGCTCCATTGGGAGTAACAGGCGTAAGTAAGTAAGCAAGTAAGTAAGTAATTATTTGCAAAGAACTGTACAACTGATAACAAATTTTAATAGAAACCTTTATCAAACTTAAAGAAGCACAGTGTAAATTAAACTCATGTGTTTCTCAAAAATCATGATCGGAATGTAATTGTTCAAATAACATAACACATTTTTTACTACAAGATATATATATTACTCTCAAAATATTAAAAAAAATAATGAGTAGTTTAGATTTTATTGAAGAACAGTAAAAAAAAATTGTACTTAACTAATCTAAGTAACCTTAAGGGAAAGTATATTACTAAACGAACTTTAAGATGATGAAAATATATCTTTATCTACCTAATAGACAAATGAAGTATCAGTAAAGGGTTAATGAATGATTGTAAGATTTAAATGCTGCTTATACTCTTACCACCTCTATCACTACGGGATTTGAATCGACAACTGCATCTCTGTGCTAATGTGGTATGGCAACTCGAACTGATGTACAAACGTACGAAGTTCTACGTTGTTACTAACTGACTGACTGAAATGCATGTTAAAATATATTAACAACTTCAAAGTTAAATATATTCAACCAAGTTTATTTTTTCATTGTAAAACTAATCAAACAAATTGTAAATAGTTCCTGCAATGTGGGTATCTATACACACAGTAATTTATGTAAAGTGTGATTTTTTGTTGGAAGTATTACCATATCTAACAATTCACTTCTCTGTGACTATCGTAACCAATAGTTGGAGACTCTGTGACATGGCTCAGAATCGATCACAATGACATCGGTGTATACACTCTCTGTTATCCCTTAAACTATGAGATTAAAATCGCTTCAAATCGTTTTACATACTAATTCTTTCCTCAAGTACTATATTCTAATATGCAATCTTCCTTTTATATATTACCACCATTGAATTAATTACTTCCATGAATCCGGTATTCATCTTGTTGTGCTAATGAGGTATGGCAACTTGGACCGATGCGCATATCTGCCTGGTACTAGGTTGTAGCTGACTGACTGACTCTGTATTTAACAATTATAGTACCAAACTTTAAACGATAGAATAGTTTCAGGAGATTGATTATGAATACTGTGATCTTGAGTGCTGTTAGAAGTATGAAGGTAGTTATCACTTCCCGGTTGCCCACACTGTGGAAGGGTTCTTCTGGAAGTACCTGAAAAGAAAATTGGGTCAGATCTGGTCTCACTGACCTGAGAGTGTGATTGCAATGCCCAAGAGACAACTGCTTGAGGTTGGTCACACACGACCTTTTTGTGAGTAATTTTCGTATTCGCTCCGTACTTATTTGGACCTTATCGCCGAAAACGGAAATCCGTGGGATAAGGCCAGATGTGCATTTTTAGAGTAGACCTTTTCTAACCCCACTCCTCCTTGTGAGAAGGCAGCATCGCTGTTATTATGCTGATTGTCTAAAGGAAACACCTTACTGCCGCCACACCTCTGTACAGTCAGCAGTACGAGCTCGCCTTCGGATCTTGGGTTTATGAATGCGTAATATATTTTTGGCTGAATAGTTTATGGTATAGGTAAACATTTATTTTCTAAAATGATACTTGCTAAGTTCAAATTTCATTGAGTTCACTGATATTTACTTAAAGTCAATTTAATTTAACTTTGATAAAATATGGCTCAGATAAACAATCAATGAATTTATGGATTAATGCCATATTTTGATTTGTCTGCCACTATCTCATTTTTAACCTAATTTTATGTTAATCAGGATTTGACATTGGGGTAGACGATGGATAAATATATATAACACATGATCTAAACACCTCAATCGATGAACAGTTATTAGCCATATCAATCAACTTTCCAGTTTTATATAGTACCCTATGCCTGGCGTTGGTATTACTCACGTGATGGTCCTTCGGTATTTCAGTAGTGCTTCGAAGATACCTATGGACAAATAATTGCAGCTAATACATGAATTCCATTTTCATATGCTATGATTCATAAAAATACAGTGATTTGCTGCATAAAAGTATAATTGAACTTCGGCTAACAGGAAAAATTTCACCTACAACCCAGATTAGCAAAAGACAGACAAAAATGTTTGGATCCTTACCCAAACATTATCAACCATCAACATACAAGGTTTATTGAGATTTCTCATGATGAGTGAAGTAGTCCATATGCCTGATTTCAAATGGTAAACAAGTATAATCTTAGAACAACACATAAGCGAGCCATATTGCTCTCAATTAGATTTTTACCAGACTTTACTATAAAAAAACCTGGTAAAATAATAGTTCTGTGAAAGAGGATGGTGATGTCATAGAAGCACTGCTTGTACACTTCGGCACCAGTGAATAAGCCTCCGTGGCGCAATCAGTAAAGCCCCCAAATGCCCTGGTATGGTCAAGGGTAGGGGGCGGAAAGTTAGCTCTTCCTATACAAATGCTCTCACAAGGCCACGTGCATACAACTATTGACTGGAAAGTTCTACTCACTGCCTTTTCGCAGCATTACTGTTTTTTACGAAATTGAGAGGAGGAAAAGCGCATATATATTCAGTGCCTCTTTGTACCAATATTTATGTGTTCAAATAAATAAATTAAATAAAAGGCATGGCAGATAGATTAATAAGGTAGCGAATCTTCATCAATTGAGAGATTGGGATATATGTTATGCACTCTCCAACCGCTGAATACCCTGACGGGTGATGTTGCCTGGCGTAGGAGTTTGGGACGACGAAATTAAGGCATGATACAAGTTTATAAACTCACTGATAATTGGAATGAGCCATGTCAACAGAAGTAGACTGCCTGATTGGGGTCTGCGCACACATCGTAACCAATGTTAGCAAATTTAAGTGACGTGGTTCAAATTATTAGCAACAGCGGAGGTGCGTTCACTCTTTGTCTTCTCTTAGAACCTCAATCCTAATATCTCTATAAATTCTTTTCTCTGTTCATACCTAATCATTTCTGTTACCACTGAAATTGTTTCTACTTCTACACAGATTGATCCTAATCAGGATATCATTTAAAACTAGGAAGTGCATTTGAAATCCACTTTGTCCTATTACGAAACACTTGAGTAGTGTGTGCGCAACCACGACACCAAGGGTCAAACATAAGACCTTCAGGTCTCACGACAAACGCCTAGTCATTACAAACATTGAGTCGGCACCTAATGGTAGAATTCGAACTTCTACCACTTGGTGACAAATACTACCGACAAATGAAACTAATCTCTAAAAAATCCCTCCAACTAAAATATAATACTCAGCTTATACTAGTGACCTACTTCAAAATGTTCTTGAAGTCCTAATGAGTTGTGACTAGAGGATATCAGAAATGTTAGAAGGAAAACAGCTAAGATCGTGTGATCGCCGCACTATTTTGCGAAACTGATTGAAGGTGGAACTGTACCATTGGATGCCGATTAAATGTCCCGAATGGTCGAAAATTCACTGCAAGACCTAAAAGCCCTGGGTTCAGTCTTTGACGGAGTCATGGGTGCGCACTGTTAAGGAGTCCCGCGCTGGAACAAAACACCTATCCAACGCTTCATTACTTACTTACGCCTGGTACTCCTCGTGGGAGTATAGGCCGCTCACCAGCATTCTCCATCTAACCCTGTCCTGGGCAATCCTCTCCAGTTCTCTCCTGTTGTTATTAATCCTTTTCATATCTACTTCTACTTCCCGATGTAATGTGTTTTTTTGGCCTTCCTCTCTTCGCTTCCCTTCAGGATTCCAAGTTAGGGCTTGCCTCGCGATGCAGTTTGGTGTTTTCCGTAATGTATCTCCTATCCACTTCCAACGCCTTGTCTTAATTTCCTCTTTAGCTGGAAGCTGGTTTGTCCTCTCCCACAGAAGGCTGTTACTGATGGTATCCAGCCAATGGATGTTGAGTATCTTGTGTAGACAATTATTTATAAATACTTGTACCTTCTTGCTGAAAAATCGCCAACCAGATTAAACAACGCTCCATAGTTTTCGATAATACAACGACTAATATCCGTCTGTGATGAATACCATCGATAAATCAAACCAATCTTTACAAACTCCCCCTTAACTAAACAATTTCCTCAATTAAATTTTTCCGAAAAAAACAAACTCCATGCTACTTACTCTAAACAACTTTTAGGAGCAGAATGTTGTGTAGGTGGAATAGTAGACCAAGAGGATGACAAGTAATTATCAGATGATGCATAATCAGTATCATGAATAAAAGTATTTCGTTCATGTAAATGATGAGATGTATCAGGTGTTGTAGTTGTTGTTGTAGTAGTTTTTGAACCAATTGGATCATACAAAAATGGACAAACATTTGGATTTTGAGACTTTTGCGATAATTCTTCATCTAATTTAACCGGAATAGTTTCTTTAATTGGTACATTACTACTAGGTAGTAGTCTTTGAACAACTCGTTCATCATGAATATTTGATGCTGATGGATATACACCGGTATGAGAACTAGATACACTGGAGCCATGTATATCTTTATGATCGACCTGGAGGATAAAAGACAAAAATGAGCGATGTTATAAATGAATGATAAATTTAAACAATATTATCGTTTATGATCAATGTAGGACCTGGCACAGATGAGTATCAGTTTAAGTTTACGTACCAAATCAGTAGCCAAATGAAATTAACATAATAACTAGTATTGGAAAAGAGTTGAAATAATGTTACTAGTACCAACGCTCGTCAAAACAATCAGTCATAAAGAATATTATTTGTAGAAATGACTAAAATAAAGCAAATCTGTTAGTAATTTTTGTTAATATCTGCATTTTTATTTAAATCAATTTGTGCATTTTTCACCACTGATAGTTAAAAAGTTCTTTTCGAATTGTAATGTTGGCTTCTTGAAGTATATATTTTTCAATAGTTGAGATCATGAGTCAATTGAATATAGACCAGCATGGAAAACCTGTTTGTTTATTGACTATAGTTTACAAAACACTATTTGAAGGGGTTTTGTGGAGATTTTAGTAATTTCAAAAGTTGTAATCATGAGTCAATTGAAGTTAGACCATCATGGAAAACCCGGAATCACTGGACGGCAGTTTCGTCCTAGTATGGGACTCCTCAGCAGTGCGCATCCACGATTCCGCCCCTCCCCACGCGAGATTCGAACCCAGGACCTATCAATCCCGCGCGCGAGAGCTTAACCACTAGACCACTGAGCCGGCATCCAACAGGGGTGCGGGATCGTGGAAGCGCACAGCTGAGGAGTCCCACACTAGGACGAAACGACCGTCCAGTTCTTCTAGGTTTTCCATGGTGATCTAGCTTCGATTGACTCATGATTTCAACTATTGAAAACACTGTTTCCAAATATCTGTAAAAATTCGGAAGTAAATTTAGAACGATTATAAATAAAAGGAAATGGAATATCCTATGGTTGATAAAAAGACTGTCTTCTTAAAACTTGACTTCAAATGAGATGGAATAGCTGGGAGGATTGATTTTAGACTAAAGGCAATACTAAAAAATGTATTTCGCGACCAAGTTGGTGTCTCTATACTAAACCAAATACTCATTGTGACAATCAAATGTGGACGAATAACCGCCTTATGCAACCCTGATCTGTGTTTATCAGTTTATATATACGTGCTAAAGCACATACATCTAAAGAAAAGGAACGAGGGTTTGTGTCTGAATCTATGAACATATTCCACGAAAGCTGAGACTAGACTGACAGATTTTCAAGTCAATTGCTCGATAGTGGGCATGATGAAGTTGCGAAATCTTTAAAAAATAATCAATAAACAAAGGGATTTAAGACTGTCACACTTTGCCAAAGCATTTGCAATAAAAATATTTAAACCAAATTTATGGATCCAGAAAGAAACAGTTATAAATCGTTTTTACCTTGGTGACCATATTTTTCGTGAGGCTATTGCGTAAGACTTTGTGTTTATTGTTCCATCAACTTTAATTAAAATCCTAATATGCATATTTCACAGTATCACAGGGAAAAAGAATTGGTTCGTAGAAAGAAAGGTATAAAGAGTTTAATCTCATAGTTCAAGGGAAGACAAAGAGTGTATATACGGACGCCATTGGGATCAACCCTGAGTCTCCAAACATTGGTTACGATAGTCGCTCAGACCCCAAGCCAAGTAGTCTGTATCTACTGAAATAGCTCAGACAATAAGTTAGTGCCTTTGTGGACTGATGCCACGTTTTGGTTTGGCCGTCCCTAACTTTCTTCCAACCATCCCCAACACTAGTCAGCATTGCGCATCGTGGTAATAGGTGTTTAGATATACGTAACACATGGCCCAACCATCTCAGTCGATGAAGATTCACAACCTCATCAACTGATTTACCTTCATCCCCTAATCTAATACCCTGCATCTAACCTTATCACATTAGCATATGAAGTGAAATAATTAACGGGACATAGAACTGAGGATAATAGTATCAATAGAAATGAGAACTTAAAGATAAGAAATACAATTCTAAAGACGTGGATAGCATCAGGGAGTGAAAAGTACGGAGTACCACGAAAACTGAAATTGAGATAACAAGTGAATGTATTAGTGCTACTGCAACTGATGTCGAACCTTATAACTTAAGGTTTTCAATCACAAATTATGATTAATTTACAAATCACAACCAAGAAATATACAACTGCCTACGTGTCTCGAACTAAAAGCTACAAACTTCATGAACAAATGCACGATTCGAATACAATTATTGTTGAGAGATTTTTTAGTAATGTAATTCATACTTCATGCACCAATTTTACTAAAATACATTTTTGATTCGGAACAATCGGGACTTGGTGTTATACTCTCGCTAAACCTAAGTTATTGACGTACAACGATATAATGTCAGTCACTGAAGTAGATTTAGCCACAGACTAAAACATTATTTTACTAGAAGCATATAATATATATCCTGATTATCAATGGCAGACGGGTTACTTGCTTTCAGTAACAAGTGGAGTACTAGAAGCGCCGTCTCCCGAAGTGAAGCACTGAAAAGGTTGATCATAAGACGGTTTATAATCCTATCACTAGTAAAGAAAACTAAATATTCAATGTATGTTTTGGCAGGTACGTGTTAAAGGAATATTAGTTTATGTGTTTCCAAAAACTAAAAACACAATTTTTGCTGGGCTTTCAAAAATGTGCCGTATTTTGACAACTCAATCACTGAAGATACCACAGGGATATTATAATGATGATCATATGCGCCATGAATATACATTGTGGAAGTGATCTATCCTGTTACTCATCCATGAAACGAAATCATAAGCTAACATGAGAGTTGCTTGATTAAGTACATTTGATGAGTCCTTTCTCTCGACATACAAACGCCCAGTCAGTCAGTCAGCTACAACGTAGGACCAGGCACATATGTGCATCGGTCCAGGTTGCCATACCGCATCAGCACAACAAGATGAACACCGGATTCATAGCAGTGGTTAGGTCAAAGGTGGTAATATATAAGAGAAAGATTGCATATAGAGATATAGTACAAGAAGAAAGAATTGGTTCGTAGAAAGAAAGACATACGCCCAGTAAATGTTTGTTGATCCATAACTCAAATACAGACGTATAAAGTTGGTAAAACCCAATCGACATTATAGGAAAAGTTGCAAACAATTTCTGCCATAGAAATGCAGCGACCATTATGTCTTCAGAATTTGTTCTGATATTCTTAGATCAATTGATTATAGTTTATTTTCATTAAGCAATGATACTTTCAGAACAAAACATCACATGAAAAGCGAATATGGATAGACAAATGCAACAAATAGACGACTGAGAGATGATTTTAAAAAACTGACGCTGCTGTGAAATTGCAAACTGTGTTTAAAATACTTAGTGGCATTCCAAGTATCCCAAGCTACTCGCATAAATATCTGTACGGTTAAAAGGTTTGTAGCTAACGAATGAGGTCACGTAGTTATTTCCTTACAAAACGAAATTTCTCTGACGTTAAACCTAAGATGTATCAGACGCACTATGAAGTCAAGAACCTCGCATTTGAATTTTGAGACTTATAGTAACTCAAGCTAAGAGAAACGAACAAGCAAAAATGCCAATACATAACCGTCAAAGTTAAAACAAAAACCAATGTCTACAAACCATGATACGAAGTAAACTCACCGGCATATCTTTTTGGAAGAACGGGGTTTCCTGACTAGAGTTATCGCCAGTCTTTAACGTCTGATAGTCAGTATTACTAATATTAGACAGGGAGTATGCTTTTAAGATTCCCGAGCGATTCTGGACACTTCCAGATAAATTATTATGATCAAGTGATAATGGAAGGCCGTCGTAGGCATGTGCAATCTGAATGTAAAATCGTAATGCCAAATGGTGTGACAACATACCTTGCAGATCTCCTGGGCGTCTCTCATAGCAGCAGCAAAGTTTGCTGTTGACGCCGCTTCTTTCATTTTGAGAAGTTCTATCTTCTCTTTGAAATTTCGTGGATTGGAGTACCCAATATGTTTAGTCGTCATTTCAGCCGTTTAACATTTGCTCACAAAACCAAACTTCTAAGATGAAGCACACGAAGATCGGTAATAAAATTTAAATATAATGCAGTCTGAAAAATTTGGTATGAAATGTTGAATGACACGTTTTATTCATATACAGAATTTTTAATTGGTAGCGTAAAAACTTGATAAGATCTACTTGAAATCCACAAAATTTTACAGTAAGCTATATTTTGCACTATGCAGTGCATTTAGTTTCAGATATATTACGGAAATGAAGAAGTGTTTTAGTAATTCCCAACGAACAATAGCAATGCCATCACAAAACTGCCTTAAAGACCGCCTTCGTTAACCTAGAAATTTAAAACTTCAATTTTCAGACATTTTACGTTTAGTTTCTCTCTCGTGGATACAGAGGGAACAAAGTTCGTCGAAATTTGTGTGTAAATCGCCAAAGATGATTATCAGATGCAGATAGCTCAACTTGACACTCTTGTAGCGGTAAATAAATCCCAAAAATAAATAGCTTTGTTTTTGACATTGGATGCTGACCACATTAGTTTTAGTGGACTCACCTTGCTGAAGGCGCTCGGTCATGCATTCGCACCAGATCACGAGTGGGGACGACGTGCTCAGCAACCCCTGCAATCGCCAGCCAGATTATATCAGACGATCCTCGATATATTGATAGCCTATCAAATATATCTTCGAACCTCCTCACTCTTGTCTTTTGATTTCACTTGGTGGGTACGATTCATAGTAGAAGGTGTAACTTGTTAAAGCGTTGTCAAACTTCGAATACCTGTGTCATCTTCACTCTGAAACCTCTTCCTGACGAAAGAATAGACCGAAATACAAAGTCACAAAATTGACTACTCACTGTTGAGTTTGATCAAGACGGAGTTTTGAAGGCACTGAGCGCATTAGACACGGGAAAACCAACAGGATCGTATGAACTACACCCTAGATTCTTGAAAAAGATTGAACCACATATTGCTTCTTTGATTACGATACTCGATATACCACTTGGCAAATATGAATTACCTACGTAGTAGAAGGATGCGATCGTCACTTCAATACGTGAAACAGTAACAAGACAACTTCCATCAAGCTATAGAACTGTTAGCTTCACCAGTGTCGTGGTTAAAATATTGGAGATAATAATCAAAAGACCGCAATAACAGTCGTGGAAACCAACAACTTGTTAGACACCCGACAACAGATTATCTTGCGCAAGAAATATCCTTGTAGCAAAAGAGCGATGGACATTTACCAAGTTAGATACTAGTTCGTCCACTACAGTATACACAGCCATAGTCAGATACAAACACAAAAACTGCTTTGAGGCTGCAAGCCCTTGTTTATAAGGTGGCGCGGATATCTTTGAAGAAGTACAGATGACAGTTAGCTGTGCAATTCCAGAGCTTTGGGCTTTACCATACAAAGGGCAGTTTGAGAAGTTAAACGTTCTTACTGTGTTACATCACACATAAAGACGTCATCTGATTTTGATGTACAAAAACTAAGAAATGATTTTTCCTCTCACCAGACCAGGATAAATTAAAGGAGATACCAATGGAGTATAGAAGCAAAGAACGAATAAAATCCTCATGATATAGAGGACTTCACATGAAGTCATAAATTCTTGGGACCTTTAACCCGAAGAAGTGGTGTCCTTCCCTCCAATTGACTCATTCAAGAGAAAACTAAACGCTCTCAGTTTACTAGAAAAGGGCAAAATATACCGTGGGCCTTCAACCCGCAGTTCACAAATCTGAATCTAAATCAAGACAAAAAACTAAAACCTGATGGATATGAAAATCTTATATTACAGCTGGAAATTTTTTTAAATTCACTAAGAAATGGTATAAGATGGGGTTTCGTGGAGATTGTAGTAACTTCAATAGTTGTATTCATGTGTCAACTGAAGCTAGACCACCATGAAAAACATGTAAGCAATGGACTGCCGTTTCGTCCTAACGTGGGACTCCACAGTGGCATACGCATCCACGATCCCGCCCCCGGCAAGATTCGAACCCAGGACCTATCGGTTTCGCGCGAGAGCGCTTAACCATTAAACCACCGGGCTGGTCGTCATCCAACAGCGTTAATGTCTAACTTCAACTAATCCACGAAATTGAGCGACACATCCACCACTGTCTTCGGTGAGTTACTATTTCATAACTGACCCGGTTGGACTCTACTGGTCACTGTTTCTCACTAGAACTCCAGGATGTACCTCTTGAAACCAGTCACTAGTGAGCACATGTTGATCAGTGTCAAAAGGGGCCTTGTGTAGATTTTAGTAATTTCATTTTTTGAGATCATGAGTCAGTTGAAGCGAGACCACCATGGCAAAATCAAAGAGTCCCGCAATAGGACGAAACAGCCGTCCAGTGCTTCCAGGTTTTCCATGGTATTCAAGCTTCAAGTAACTCATTATCTAAACAATTGAACTCATTAGTGAATCACAAATTGGGTAAATGTCTTTCTGATTGATAGGAGGAAACGAGGATGGGTAAACGGGGTCTTATCACATGGGAATCTGTGAAGAGTAGAGTCCCATATGGTCTAATCTTCAGTCCTCTTTTTTCTCAGCATTGTGAAAATGATCTACTAGCCGCATCGAAATCCTCTGTTTTACTCTTTACTGATGTCATTAGGATTTTGAAACCTATATACTGAGTTTTTGATAGGATAATGTTTCAGGTAGACTTAAATTCACCAGTTGAGTTGATGAGTAAGTGTTAATTAAAAATTATTTCTTTCAGGAATTTGGTGATGTGAAAACGCAACAATTTATGTAAAAAAGAGCGAAATTTGATTACCTTAATTAGTGGATTTTAAAGGTCCTGCAGTCATAATTAGCAGAAACCTTGGAACTATGTCTAACAGTAAGGCTGTTACTGCCTTCATAGTCTTGTAAGAAAGTCGTCTCGTCATTCAGAAAAGGAATTTTTCATAGTATCATGTGCGACATTTATGAGTCGCATTTAGAATGTGAGATTTAGACAACGAGTTCTTATTTCACGTTTGAAGCGTATATGCTGTAATGAGCCCAGCGACGAGGGAACAAAACGGAGAACGACTTCAGTGATCTTCCATGTGAAGACAGACTGAGACACCTCATCCTATTCTAATTATCTTACTTCAGGTTGCAATGGAACTTACTACTGGATTTCTGTATACCAAATGATAATCTCGATCACCTTTTCCTTTAACCAAGGATTGGCTCTCTGTGATCACATTCAAGGAAAATTCAAAAAGCGAGAATGAACCGTTTACATCTGGTGTTTCGATTCTCTCGGCAGGTAATGGATTATTGGGATTCTCTACGAGAACATGTAATACCAGTATGTTTTTTTATACATTTAAGGCGAGATCGGATCTCAGTGGTGTCACAAGTTGTGAAGAGTAATATGGATCGATTGACTGCCTATCCTCCTAGGTAGTTACAATGTGAGATAATAATATTATTGACGATTATACTTCAGAAACTCTTAATACTGTCTTTCTAGCCGGTTTCCTTGACCTCAACTGCTTCTCCACGTCACCTAGAAAAAATGGAGAGTAGGTGCGAATTGTAAGTGAAAGCTTTAATTCAAAGTTAGTTCATGCTCAGAAAAATGACTGTTTACAGAATCATTTACAAACTTAACCTACAATAGGTTTTCGGAACCATACTGAATACTGTGACAGTATTGGTAAATACCCAATCAAAATATGCTTATCCTTCCATTTTTAGATGTTTCTACAAGTTTTTTTTATTAAACTCCGCTTAGCCAACACTGATTGAAGTTTTCTGAAACTCTAATGGCTTAGATGAGAGATATTTTGGCACTCCACAGCAATTTTATGTTAAAGCTCATCACGTACAACTGAGTATAGCAGAGGTACACAACAGTTGCATATATAAGGCGAATGGCCAAATGACATGTCTGATCTAGAGTTAATAACTATATGAGCGCTATATTTTGGTTCAAGTCCTCTCTCTGACAACTTTATTCGAAGCCATATTTACACTTACGGTAAGACTGATTATTGTCTCATCAATGGAGATTTCAACGTGCTATAAATCAAAATAGTCGGTAGAACATGAAGGCAGAGGACGAACTTAACCTCACTGTGATCCAAACGTACGACAAGTATTGCACACAAATCCTGGACAAGTCTCCAAGTGCTCATGTGTATTCTTTCCAGAGTGATAAAAATGCATGGGCTAAAACGAAAACAGGTGGCATATTTTTCCTATATAAGCGATCAAAAGTTCCTTTTTTCGCTTTCATGATTCTGAATCGTAAGAGTCCGACATTGAATCAAATTGAGTTAGTGACTGCAAGTTTACAGCTTCAGCTGCACTGTCCTTTTCTTTTATATAAGACTTCGAAAGGGGATATATTCTCCATCTGGTTCTTCTCTGGTTCAGATTGTGAACGCATCGCGGAAAAACTTGGCAAACTTGTTCACGACGTTGGTGGCTTAGGACTAAAGATAGCTCCTACAAGCCAATCCACAAATTCCAAATCTAAATCTTCCAATTCTGTGATGAAATCTATAGTGGCTGCTCCTAAATCTCCGGAAACAGTTACTAAAGGATTAAATCAGTTAATGGATTTCGTTCGTGCATCCAATGAAAATTCCAAGGCAAACTCTTCAAACCCATCCAAAGTTAATGACAATGTATCTAATCATTCCGAAGGACCAAGTATATTTGACATGTTACACAAGGCAGAGGCCGATTTTAATTCAGGAAGTAATCGAAGCGTATCACAATCAGACATAACCGTCAAAAATGAACTACAACGTTTTCGTACAGCTTGCAATCTTCCAGTTTCAAATGGAAATAATTCATTCGGCAATCATTCTGGACCAGGTGCTAGCGGAGTTTCAAGTAGTAAGAAGAATAAACTGAGTTGTGGGTCATCTCAGATTGTCAATCATATTTCTGTTGCTGAACTTGAAGAACAATTACTTCAGGAGCATATATCTCTTCCTGAAAACGTTGATGGGCTAACATCACGTTCAAAGATATCCGGTGATTTAAAAACAGTTGTCGCTACAGACGATAGTTCTCCAGATGACCAGGTGTTATCACATGTGTCAGTCATGGAGTCTTCTGCATGCTACCTTGAAGGACATAAAGATACTCGTGTTGATCGAAATCGCCGCCTTCTTAGTGATGATGCTGGTTATGTGGATGATGTTGATGATGAGGAAGCATGCGAAGACCCTTGTGGTCGCGGTTTACCCAAAAGCTATGGAGTTGGCCAACGTAAACAACGACGGCATATCCGTCAGCAACAAGAAAATTTTTCAGATGAAATACATTCACCATCTAATCGGTCGGTTAATCGAAACAAACTCCCGAATATCACTCCCAAGTGTAAAACGATTATAGGAGAAGACACACTCGTTACACCTGACATGTTAACCAGCATCCCATCATCGACTTTCCCCGGATTAATGTCCGAATTTAATTATGGTAAACATACTGTATCGAGCCCTTTTTCAGAAAATAAAGCCCCCATCTCGACAACAGAAAAATCCGCGATGAACGAATATCTTACGAAAGATCAACTAAGAGAAACATTAATTCATTTGTTACAAACAGATGATGATTTCTTACATCGTATACATATTGGTTATGTTAATGTATTAGAAAAACGATCAGTTGATCAGAGATCACAAAATAAAACGAATATTTAACGACAATTCACTACTCATTAGTCCTCACTGCTCACTTACATCACGTATGACGAAACCAACACATTTTGGTGTAGAAAATGAACCATTATTGTTGGAAATGGTTCTCTTTAATCGCCCAAGTGATGTTACAGACATTCACTTCTCAAAAATAATCACGCTGATAAACTCTGGGTTACAAACACTTGGTGAGCAACAGGAATCTTCCAAATCTGGTCTCAACAACATGTGGGAAAACATTTAGGTGATCAGAGATTTGTTTAGATAACTTGTGGAGTTATGGTCTAGTCCCGTACTAGTGTGATGTACGCTAATTATATCTATAGATATAAGTAGTATGTGTCGCCAATCATTGGTGATTCGCCTACGATCCATTATAAACTATAAATCTCCTACCTTCAAACACGTCTCGGAAACCACTGATGTTTAGGCAGAATGTGAATTCTCTTCCGAAGGCAGAGTATCTCGTTTCTGCTAGAGAGTCTTTTTGAGAAGAAAACAATCAGTTTCCAAGCGTTGTTATCAGTTGGTTACGAATGTTGCCTACTGCTTTGTCTGAAGTATCCACCATTAAAGCAAATGAGGAATGGGAAGACGGAAACGTTAACGTAAATCCTCAGTGTAGTTTATCCTCTAGCTTTTAAATAGCCTCTACAATCTCAGAATTCAGCTTAAAATCTTTCAGTTTTCTCTTGGGGAAATCTGTCAGAGGCTGAATTGTTTGTGCACAACCTAGTATTGATGTACGACAAACGGTTTCTAATCCTAGACAAATTAAGTTGTTTTGGAGAGCTTGGTGTAGGGTACTGCCCAATGGTGTCTACCTACTATTTGATCGGTGTAATCTCTTCCGTAATTATTTTGAGGTCTAAAAATGCTAAAGTATGAACTCCCAAAATATACTACTATGAATGTTCATCTAATTTTAATCTCACCGTTTTAATACTGCTCTCAAGTTTTGTACATGTGGTTTTAAATCCAGAATGGCAATTAACGAATCTCCTATATTACTACCTTACGCCGGTTACTTCTAATGGAGCATAGACCGCTGACCAGCATGCGCCATACCACTTTGTCTTGGGCCTTCTTTACCAGTTCTATCCTATTGTTGTTCATTCTTCTTATATCTGTCTCCATTTATTGGTGTAATGAGTTCTTTGGTCTTCCTCTCTTCCTTTTGTCTTGAGGCATCCGAGTGATGAGAGCTTGCCCTGTGGCACAGTTGAATGCTCTCCTCATTGTGTGTCCTATCCACTTCTAGCGCTACTTCCTGGTGTTTACTTCGAACGGCTTTGTAAACTGTCCTCCGTGCACAATTTTGCAGTTCCATCCATCATAGGAATTCCGTATGATATTGACTATCTTCTGAGGCACGCCGTAGTATCGAAGAAGCTTCCATAGGGTTGTTCTGTCCACGTTGATCTAGTCTCTCGGGTCTAGCATACACAGGAGCTTCTTCAGATTCCATTGTATGAATTATCCCTGGTTCACTCTCAGAAGGTTAACGATTTTATCTAGTTAGATTTGGAAATCCTGCTAGTATATCCTGGAACATGGCATGTGTTACTGGCAGAGTTTGTACAAATTTAAAGATGCAATATGATTCTCCTTGCCTTTTATGTCATTCAACGTTGATATAAGTAACAAACGCTTTTTTTAGTATCAACTAGAAATTAATATTCTTCCAAAGAGTCAACTCCCAATATTGTCAGGTCTAGATCTGTTACAGTAAACACCCAATGGGATCGCCTCTGAAAATCCTAATCTGTCGTCTATATTCGCTGTCATAACGTCACAACTTCGCGTTTTTAGCATATTGAGGTGTAAGTGAGAACGTTTTTCGACCTAGGTCGTTTTTGCTTTCAAGAATGATAATAAGTGCATCCACCAAAACGTTCAAGATTGAATTTTAGTCTCCAAAATAAAACAAGCGACCGTTTAGGCAACCCTCTTCAGTCGTCGTGACCATGAAAGAGTTATTCGCTTCCATGTGCTTGGGAGTGTGTCTAGGCCAGGCACACGGCTGAATGCACCTGGTTAATTTGGTACCAAACTTTCAGTAGTGCCAACTGAACTTCCTAATCTGTTCTGACTTTTGTGATCACCTCCATAACCTGAAATTTAGTCTTTGTGGTGATCTGATCCTGTTTCTAAGATCTGTCTGCACTTTGGCTCCAGCCTCTGAGAGACTTTCAGTGCGTGTAGTGTGTTCTGCTACTACTGGTTCTTTTAATGATTCATCGTTTTGTGTTTGGTGTGTAGTACTTGATTCAGTTGGGTAACCTCTTTTCATTAATCTATACGTAACACGTGTTAACTGAGATAGACAGGTTCACAAGTCTTAGGCACCCAGGCGTTGTTAGACGTAGCATGGGAGACCTTCTGTACATCTTAGTTTTAGAACCGCTTCACCTACGGTTTTGTCAGCGACTACTTCTTGGTGGTGATGTATGAATTGTGATATTGATACGTCACCTAATGCTCCCTACCGGAATAATCTTTGAATTCTTCAACCGTCTGACAGAGATAGACGGTATCATTATTTCACGTCTTGAGATGATTTATGGCTGTGAGGTTGGGGACTCAGGATTAAGTTGAGGACTTATTTGAAATCTAAAGAAGGGAAGAGAAACCATAAACCCCAACAGCGAATCCTCTCAGATTTAATATTGCTCACCGGGCAATAATGCATTAGGGGAGCGAACAACAACTAAGAGATCAAACTATGAGAGTCTCTCTTTCGTTATCATAAACGTGACCATCTCGACTTGTAAGAAATTACTTATTTTCCAGGCTTTCACTCTGCATTAGGTCTGAGATGTAATATATGATCAGTTGGTTATTGCAGTATCAACGAGGGAAATAATGAGTCCAACATAGATATTGTGCGGTAGAAAGGTATATATGTGAAAATTATGTTAAACATAATTTTACTAATTTATCAATAGGTTTGCATTTATGGCAATGATAATGAGTAAAACGACACCAATTAAGTTCTGGTATTTACCCCTAGTTTTACCTTTAACAGAAGTAAGACCAGTGGTTGCAGTAGGTCATTATTCATATCGTAAAATAAAATAGTTGGAGCTCAATTTTCCCTTTTTCAAACAAATAGACTTTTTGACACTCAGCATAGAATAATTGGAAATATGGTTACTACGCAAGGTAAGGAATTAGAAAATACTTGAAATATAATGTTTTTGTGGTACCAAGGTGTTTTGACCCAACTTCAACAATCGAACTCAAGTCGCTACAACGTCGAAAAGTGTATAAATGTTTTATTAACAAGGTGTAAAGGAAAATAAGATTAAACAGTTTTATACATAATTTGAACTAAATTTAAAGTAAATTGTTATTATAGTAAGGCTTGACGGCTGGATAAGTGTTCAGAAAGGTAGTGATACGATGAAGTTCCAAACGAAAGAAGAGTAAAATCGTCAAACATAACTTTTCAGAGGTCATATTTATGCAGATATGATAAGGTGAACCTGATAATCCAGCGAACTCAAAGAATGTAGTGCAATTTAGATCCCCGGATGTAAACATTAAGTCCTTACGTTTGTCACCGATTGACCGGATATTTTACTTACCTATGACCAACCCTTTCTGCCTAAAGGCACTTTAGGCTTCTATACTTTGACCTTGTTAAAGCTCTTTATAAAGTACAACAGTCATCATGACTATCTGAATTAAAGACATTCGGTATAGCAGGTAAAGTGAACGAACGGGTTTCACCCCCCCCTAAAGGACTGAACCCAAGTAGCAAAAAGTGGGAAAACAATTATCTTACTATCAGGACATTACCAGTGGTATCCTCAGGTATCAGATCGTTATGTATTTTAGTGAACTGTCCAATTGCATCACAATTAACGAAATCATTTTATTTGCTGAAGACGTTAATGTGGTATATGTACTCCATCCAAGCCTCATTCTGGACATCAGCCATATAGTACAGAAAGGTCTGGATAAACTCTTAAGCTTGTGTAATGTCTGGTTTCTCCCTCTTAATATCAAAAATCTGAATACTCGTATTTTGGTACATTCAATACAGGTTGCAATTCGAACAATTAAGCTGCTTGTGAGATTTAATAGTGAAATATTCCGAGGGCCATTCATTCACCGAACATGCTACATCTCAAATCTCTAAAGTTCATAGACTTATTGGGCTTATCAGTTGTAATGTCCTTTTAAAAGAAATCCCAAATTACTCTTTACAAGGTATTTGTTCGACTCCCCGATTATGTCCAGTTACATTTTTCAGGGCCTCTCACGCCAGACCTATCATATGAAGATAGATGCGGAGCATGGATACTAGATCCCTTATGGTTAAGACGAATTAAATTTAAACCTTACCTTTTCAAAACACTGTATGGTGAAACTACAGGAAATTGTGGTACGTCAAAACTTAACAAAAATAGTAATTGTTACTTCGAACTCAGGTTTTCGCATTACAGAACATCAAGCAAATTAAGGTCAACTTTCTCTGTCACAAGCTACGCATGCCTTTAGACTAGGTTACCATTAAAAATCCGGTCAGGTCAAACACAATCAACCATAATGCTGAGCCCATCGAGATTTTGTTAATTTACGTCTCCCTAAGGTCACGCAGCGTGTCACGAACCAATGATATTGAGGCCGGTTTATTATACAAGATACCTCTCTAAAACGTGTTTGTGATGTTGGTTTGGTTTCACTTCCTACCGAGCAATCGCGTTTCAAGCAAAACAATTTGCTAAAGACGAAGCGTGCTCATGACCCTATAAAATAAAAAATGAGCTAAAATAGCTCCAACATAGAAGGGAGATAGCCATTTGTGTATCAAGATACAGTTTTGAGTATTATAATTTGAAACTTTAAACAATCATATAGTTTCAGCTTCTTTTCGATCAACCTCCATTTATGCAGTCCTTTGTCCATCCATACCATATTCACACCTGTTTAATCTAATAGAATTTTCTTGCTTAAAATGTACCTTAATAACAGAAAATAAGACTAAGTAGTCATACCTTCACTATTTCACCACAAATGACTAGATTACAATATGCATGAACAATGTATGCTTCGCTTCTCTTCCTTTCTTTGCTTACTCTATTTTTCATCACTCTTAAGATATGCCTCCGATAACGCATATGGAACGGTTGACTTTGTCCCGCACCATCAACAATACCTCGGATATTCCAGAGGGGTATAAGGTCACGGTTTATAGAAGCTCTCAAATTCACGTGGATTTACTCCCGACTATCAGTTGCACGTCGCAACGCAAC